AAATACAACGTTAAAATTTGATAAAGCCATGGTGTTTCTATCTAACAAAAAGATACATACAAGGCAGAAAAATCAAACCAAACATGGCAGGAAAACCGAACAACAAAATAGGTTAATATGAGTTACTGGAAGAAATTGCGTTTGGTCGGAGGTGGGCATAGGTCGGAGTTGGGAGGAGCTACTGGAAGAAATTGTGTCTGGGGAAGGAGAAGAAGAAACTGCATCATATGTTAGGATAATGAGAAGGGCACCCTCAGTGGTGGTGCTGGTTGTAGCAGCGCCCGTGTAAAGGAGGGCAATCAAGGAAAAAGACTCAGTCAGCTAATATTTTTTTCAGGACCGAGTAAGGAGCTGGGTCAGCTGTCGCTGACCGAGGCAGTCAATTTCAGACTCTATCAAACGGTCTGACCGGACCGAGTCAGCCGAAATTTGCTGACCGGACCCAATCAGCTCACTATCAAACAAAGCCTAAGTGTTTTGAATAATTGAACTACTTATTCATATATGAATAACAAATGAAGTGTAACAAAATTCTGATAAATGTGTTATTCATATATGAATATAACTTGTGAAGAGAGCTAATACACGTTTTATTCATATGTAAATATAACTTGTGACGAGAGCTGATGTAAACTCTAAAAAAGTTTATTAAATGTTATATTCATATATGAATGATATTTAAACTATTAAAAAAAATATATTCGTAAGTGATTAACGAATGCACTGTAATAAAAATCCGATGCATTTTTATTCACTTATGAATAACAAGGGCTGAAACTATAAAAAAAAATTCATTTTACCTTAAAGATATATCCATATAGATGTCTATTTATAAAGAACAAAAATTATGAATTTTGATATATTTAAATTAGTTTTTCGATAAAAATAGCTCCTTAAAAGTTATTTAAAAAAACAAAAAAAAAACTATGTTTTTGTATATATTAAGGTAATGATTAACGATACATGTTTTGTTGGAAAACACACTTGTATTCATTTCACCATTCCGCCGCTACGATGAAAGTTTTACGGCAAAAATAAATGATTATGTGAGAATAATTTCCTCACTCTCAAATATTTTTTATTTTTTCAATTTAACTTACCTCTCTCTCTCTCTCTTTTTTTCTCTCTCTCTCTCTCTCTCTCTATATATATATATATATATATATATATATATATATATATATATCTTGAAAAGTTCAATAGAAAACCATTATTAATCAAGGAACCAATGAATCGATCCAAAGCGTCGAAATTTAAAGCGATCAACGGCAAAATGAATGATTGTAGACTTTTAGAATAGACACATATGCATCAGATTAAAACAAAATTCACTTCATTTTTTTCGTTTAATTTTTTTTAGACTATGTTTTTTATCGAAAAAAAACAACTAAATATACAATTGTTCATAATTTTTCATCCTATTTTCATAGTGATCCATATTGATATACAAAAATGATTTTTTATTTAAATAAAAAAAGCTCACTTTTTTTTTGAAAAGTTAATGTCTATTTTTTATCGAAATATTTTAATAAATATATCAAAATTCATATTTTTGGTACTCTTTAAATATAGATTCATATTGATGTAAAAAAATGAAATTTAAATTCAGATTCACAATGTGAATCTGCTCATATTCACATTGTGAATCTACTTAGATTCACATTGCAAACCTGCTCAGATTCATAGTGTGAATAATAGTAGTCAAATTCACATTGTAAATTCTGAAAACTAAATTATATGCAGTTCTGATTCACAATGTGAGTAAATCCATTTGTTGATTTTATAAAACTAATTTATTAGTAATTAAAACGTTAAAATATTATAAAATTACGTTGAAATATATTTCGATTCATATATAAATTTCACTAAATTAATTTGTGAATTAACAAAAAGTCGAAATATTAAGTCAAATTCACATTGTCAATGTTAAAATTGAAATATTTATAGTTCAGATTCACAGTCTGAATATGAACT